GAGGAATGCTTATTTACAGTTGAACGTTGAAAATTTTACTGAGGCAATTTGCGGGCCTCAAATTTCCTAACGCAGTTTTCACGGCTGTAAATGTAAAATATCCTGATTGTCCTATCAACACCTTACAAAAAAACAAAAACAAAAACAAAAACAAAAACAAAAACAAAAACAAAAACAAAAACAAACAAGCAGAAGACATTCGGGACTGAGTTGTTATGTCAGCATTTATCGTGCTCTTCGACGCCATGTTGCTCAGATTCATCAACAGATGAAATCAAATGGCTCGAGTGACTTCAGTGTCGGTCAAATACCAAAGAACTGTAAATAACATGCTTTCGATCAATGGCCATTATTTTCATAAATGTGCTATTTGCCATATTTGTCATCTCTGCATACAAATCTTGCCATGGGACACAGGACACTCAGGACATTGTGCCAATGTAATATATTTTAACTCGTCTTAGAATTATATCCTCTGCTGCTGAAATATCAAGGCCAAGAGATAACATTACAGCCCTTTTGCAACTTTTTATCATTAAGGGTGCAGTAAGTTAGCGATAACTACTGTAATACAATATTTTCCAACAACATTTTATCAACCGTAAATAAGGTATCTGAGATCCCATAATAAGAAGGTTTTATAAAGATAAATCAGTATTTTGAATTTAGATTTGAAATTCTACGTGTGTCGCTGTAGCTGTTTCATGATTCCAGAAAATGACAATGAATTGAAGTAAGCCCAAATCTTTACTATACTGATATACGCTATACTATATATACCATACTAAAATGATTATTTCTTATGTAGAAAAGAGTTTTTAAGGATATTACGTCCTTTTAAAGGTATACAAAAAGAAATCAAGAAATCGCTTTTTTCTTAAAAATCAAAGTGAGCAGGAAATAACAAAAGGTGCTGCCAGTCGAATGTCATCAGTGTCAACTTTGCCAAAAACGCCACAAAGCTTACGCATTAAAATTATAATAATAATAAAATAAAGTTGAATAATTAATAAAGCTGCTGTGTAAATTAATGTGTGATTCGCTTTGATTCAGCCGCGTTTTGAATAAACAAATATCTGCCGTTCACTAAACGTCCTGCTTTTCGGATATTAATGTCTTAACCTTTAGAGTCCATAAATCTTAAAACAGGGAAGGAAAGTAGGAAAGTATACTTTCTTATGTCGATCTAGAAATTAGATTTATAGTCTTTCTTCCTATCTTTTTCTATTCATCAATCCCCGTCACTTACTCTTGCTCTCAAGCAGCGATGAAACCATGAAAATTCCCCCAAAAATTACACCTTCCAGTACACTCATGTGACCTACGTTTCTTTTGCATGAAACTTCTGTATTCAATAATCTCGTAATTTTTTATCCTGTCACCTCGCTTGCTNATTGAAACTTTCAGTGCACTTATGTGACCCAGGTTTCTTTGGCGTGAAACTTCTATATTCAATAATCTCGCATTTTTTCCTTCGTCACCTCGCTTGCTTCCTTTCAGAAACAGTCAAGAAAAACCCGGTTGGCGTCTTTTTTCTTATATGTTACAACTCAAAATATAACTGTTCATAACAATAACAACAATCCTTTATTTACATAGGATATCGGTTTGAGCAACAGGTTTGCTTGTGGGGTCGTGTTTACACTAAAAACAGAAATATGTACAGTAATAATAAGATAATTCTACAATTCTAACAATTCTACAATTCTAATAATTTAAAATTTTAATTAAATAATTCTAATAAAATAATTCTATAATTAAAATCTGTCACGTTCTTGCTTTGCGTTTGAATCGAGGTCGCACTAAAGTCTAATTGTTTAATAAAAATGTCTTTTCTAGATTTGATATAGAATTGGTTAAAATTAACCTATAGTACCTGGATGCAGTGTTCTAAAGTACAGCGCCCCGGTAGATTATCGAGTTTTTCATATAGTATGAACAAAATCGTGGAGTTACGATCTTGTTTCCTCTAAGGTGATACTTGAGGGGAAAACATCTAACGACTAACAGCAAAATCAAACATAACTTAATATGCATTATAACAAACTTTAACAGGAGCCTTAGTTCACACTTAAATTCTCGCCCTGTACGCATGGGGAGAAAGTTTTGGAACAGTAGCTGAGTTACAACTGAAAGCGCACACACATGCTGATAGAAAATAAGGTCTGAACCTGATTACAATTTCCATTTAAGTTTTCACATCCTTTCAGATCTCTCTTTGCATGAGATATTTGTTAGCGTTTCCACATTTTGTGATTTCAAGAACTGGCGATTCTCACGAGTGTGCGTGGTAACTTTAATCTCCCGATCACATTGCCCCTTGAAGTGAAAACAGTCATAATATTGTTTCCCGGTAACTGTTTTATTAAGAAAGGATGAGAAGTGAGAGAGTTAATCGCCCATAGTGGCCTTTATATTGCTAAGGTAATCCCTCTTAAGTTATATTTGGATCACTCCTAGTTGCTGAAATCCCGCGAGGGTCTAGACATAATTCCGTGACACGCATTTTTATCCTCTACGCATTGCGCGTGGTAACATTAGGGAGTTTATGGAACCACGACGGTGACGCTGAGGACAACGTCGATTAAAAAATGATTTTATATTTTACCTACGAATTTCGGGGTATTCTTAAGTTATTTACTTTGTTTATTACTGTCAAAACTATAAAAAACCTGAATCAGAGACAAAGCGATAAATTTGCAATGAAAATTTAAAAAATAGCCATTGTGGTTCACGATTTCTAGACAACGCAGAATTTAGTCATTTCACGTTAATTTTTTTCAGAGGACGGTAAAGAAATGTACCAAGAATTATAACGCGCGTGCACATTCTTAAAACTTACAGTTAGAGTGTTCCTTGAGTGAACTATATTAACAAATTGCCATGCTGCAGCTAGCATTACTGTTTTGCTGAGGAACAAAAAAAGACAACTTTTCATTGCAATCTCCGTCTGAACTTATATATCTTATCTTACAAAATTTCGAAGTACATTTATATTGGCAATAACTATTTCTCTTATTTCTTTGATCTTCCAACAGTATAGAATAGGATTTAAAGACGAATTAGCAAAAACTGCAATGCTGCTTAAATGTAATGCAAAGCGGGAAGTGGGATTGAGTCCCGTAAAAAGTGTTACAAGGAGTGAAGTTAAGTGTGGCATGTAACAAACGAGAAGAAGGCCATAAATCCATAACAAGCTATTCACAGTTTTCTTGTACTGAGCCACATCAAAATCGGTCGACGCACTGGAGTTCAGATTACAGTGAATCTGTGCAACATGGCGACGAAGGTTCCGATAGATACTGAAATAACATAAAGGTATTATAAGGCACCAACTCAACAACCCAACTGCCCCAGAATACATATTGATCAGAACGCTCAAAAACCAGGATCCAGACCAAACTGCGGTTGCGATCCACTCTATAACAAGAAGGCAGACAACTCGTCTCAATTTCACGAGTTCACGGTATCTCAAGCGAAGGTGAAAGGCGAGATATCGATCAATAGCAATTGTAGTAATAGTGTGAAGGGAAACTCCAACAATAAAGGTTGATGTTCTTCCATATGTGATAGCTATAGCGCAGTAATAACTGGGCATTTCTAAGATAATCATCAAGTAGTGAACTGTAAACAGTGGAAGAACAATCAGTCCAACGAAAAGATCCGTCAGAGCCAAAATAAATAACAAAGCTTTTGATGGAGAATGAAGAGATTGACACTTGCGAAGAGCGAGTAGGATCATAGTGTTACCCAACGTTGATGAAACTGAGAGGATCACACCAACAACACAGGCAAAGATGTAGATAGTCGTCGGGAATTGTTGCGCCGCGGGATAATAGTAAGTGCTGTTGGAACTACAATATGATTCGGCGAACGTCCTTGCCATTTTTTGACGGAAAACTTCTTGTTTATCCTGATAACGTGTTTAAGGCCTTAAAATCTAAGGGAACGAGATACTGAAAAAGCAAAGATCCCAAAGGAGTCGACGCACCAGGCTGTTGACGGTCTTGATAAATGACAACATTTACCAGAAAGATCTGTTCGAAATTCTGAAACAGAATGGCAACAGGCTTTTTGTTCGTATTGTTGTCGGCGAAACGCTTGGCTTGGCTTTATTTATTGCACTTTTCTGATTTTAATTTAATAACCATCGGGCTCAATAAAGTGATAACTAGGTTAATTTATTTTGATCTGATCCTTCCGCCAATGAAATAATTCAGTATTTAATATGGGATAATGTCTACTGCCTTGCATCTGTGGCTTGAACAAATACGCAGGACATAAGCTCTGTTTTAGAAAAAACAGTATTTTTTGGTGAACTAATTGATTGACGGCGTAATGAAAAAGTAGTCATTAAACCTGACAACCTTCACGTCTACGTGCCAACAGGCTTAAGGGTAGTAGGTAAGTCAAGTCAAGTCAAGTCATCTTTGTTTAGGCAGGGTAGCCCCATTAGCCATAGGCTGGTATCAAAAGGAGCCCTGCGTAAAATTAAGACTACAGGATAAAAAAAATTCAGAATTTAAAAATTACCGCGAAGTTATGTACAAGGAGTTCAAAAATTGAATAAAAAGGAAATAACGTATCTGTGAAGTAAGTGACTAAACTTCGCAACGGAAAGAAGAGTCAATTTACATTAGATCTTTGTTTGGTCTTGTTATTCGAGATCACTTTTGTAATGTGAGAAGGAATACTTTGGGGAACATAAGTGCAAAAAAACCCAGACTTTTAATAAATGCGACCTCACTTGGATCTCTTTCAGCTTGATCAGAAATATATATCTTTAGAAAAACACTTTTTTCTTTGAACTTATGAGACTGCACGATGATTGTTAATATTGACAGTGAGCGCATTCTTAAAATCCTGCGGAAGTTATTGAATTTTCCAGCTGCTGCATAAGCTTTTCTTTAGAATAAAACATACACTGATGGACTGCTGTCATGTTCAGGGGGCCTTCCTTCCATGCCAATCACCATGGTTTCTGCACGGTTGACGTCACCTGAAATAGTCAGATGGATTAGTTGTCTTTTTGCTGTAAGTGCAGCACATCCTGCTTGGTTGGGCAAGATGAGAATGGAAGAGAGGAAACAGAACTCTGGGGAATGCTTATTTACAGTTGAACGTTGAAAATTTTACTGAGGCAATTTGCGGGCCTCAAATTTCTCAACGCAGTTTTCACGCCTGGAAATGCAAAATATCCCGATTGTCCAATTGTAAAACAAACAAACAAACAAACAAACAAACAAACAGAATCGATTTGTCCTGTTTGGTAGTGGGATTGTCCATTTGTAGCTATACTTTCGGGACTAGTTATGTCAGTATTTATCGTGGTCTTCGACGCCACGCTTCTCAGATTCAACAACAAATGAAATCAAATGGCTCGAGTGACTTCAGTGTCGGTCAATACCAAAGAACTGTAGATAACATCCTTTGGATCAATGGCCTTCATTTTCATAAACGTGCTATTTGCCATATTTGCCATTTCTGCATACAAATCTTGTCATAGGACTCAGGACTGCTCTAATACAACTGCTCTAATACAACATTTCCCACCAACATTTTATTAACCATAAATAAGATAAGTGAGAGCCCATAATAAACAGGTTTTAAAAAGATCAATCAGTATTATCAATTTATACTCGAAATTCTATATGCTTCGCTGCTGTTTCATGATTCCAGGAAATGACAATGAATTGAAGTCAGCGCAAATATTTACTATACTAGGACTGATCCAAGAGTTTTGGGGGATTTTACATCCTTTTAAAGGTATACGAAAAGAAATCAAAAAATCGCGATTTCCTTAAAAATCAGAGTGAGCAGGAAATTACAAAAGGTGCTGTCAACTTTGCCAAAAACGCCACAAAGCTTACGCGTTAAAATCATAATAATAATAAGATAAACTTGAATAATTGATAAAGCTGCTGTGTAAATTAATGTGGGATACGCTCTGATTCAGCTGCGTTTTGAATAAACAAATGTCTGCCATTCAGTACACGTCCTGGTTTTCGGATATTTATGCATTAACCTATAATTTAGAGTCCATAAATCTTAAAACAGGGAAGGGAAATAGAAAAGTCTACTTTTTTATGTTGATCTATAAATTAAATTTATAGCCTTTCTTCCTATCTTCGTCTATCTACCAATCCCATCACTTACTCTTGCGTTCAAGCAATCAGGAAAATCCCCCCAAAATTGAAACTTTCAGTGCACTTATGTGACCCAGGTTTCTTTGGCGTGAAACTTCTATATTCAATAATCTCGTAATTTTTTTCCCTCGTCACCTCGCTTGCTTCCTTTTAGAAACAGTCAAGAAAAACCCGGTTGGCGTCTTCTTTTTATATGTTACAACTCAAAATATAATTGTTCATAACAATAACAACAATCCTTTATTTACATACGATTCGGTTTGAAGCAATAGGTTTGCTCGTGGGGTCGTGTTTACACTAAAAACAGAAATATGTACAGTAATAATAAGATAATTCTACAATTCTAATAATTCTACAATTCTAATAATTTAAAATTCTAATAAAACAATTCTATAATTCTAATAAAACTTAAAATCTGTCCCGTTCTTGCTTTGCGTTTGAATCGAGGTCACATTTAAGTCTAATTGTTTAATATCCGTATAGCACCTGGATGCAGTGTTCTAAAGTACAGCGCCCCAGTAGATTATCGAGTTTTTCATATAGTACGAACAAAATCGCCGAGTTACGATCTTGTTTCCTCTAAGGTGATACTTGAGGGGAAAATATCTAACGACTAACAACAAAATCAAACAGAACTTAATGTACATTATAACAAACGTCAACAGGAGCCTTAGTTTATACTTAAATTCTCGCCCTGCACGCATGAGGAGAAAGTTTTGGAACAGCAGCTGAGTTACAATTGAAAGCGCACATACATGAAGATAGAAAATAAGATATTTGTTAGCGTTTCCACATTTTGTGATTTCAAGAACCGACGATTCTCACGAGTGTTGCGTGGTAACTTTAATCCCCCGAGCTTAGTGTCCATTCCATTGCTCCTTGAAGTGAAAACACTGTCATAATGTTGTTTCCTGGTAGCTGATTTTATTAAGAGGGGATGACGGGTAACTGGTAAGAGAGTTGATTGCCCATAGAGGCCTTTACATTGCTAAGGTAATCCCTTTAAGTTATATCTGGATCACTCTTAGTTGCTGAAATCCCTCGAGGGTCTAGACATAATCCTGTGACACCCATTTTCATCCTCCATGCAACGCGCGTGGTAACATAACTGGAAACCATGTTTAACAAAAACTTCAGCGGGATTGCCTTGGGAATAAGGCCTATATGAGGATAAACTCTCTCGGCTTACCCTTCATGCTCTCCTAGTTATATTCCATTACTGTCGGTTAGCTCAGTTCCTTAAAACTTACAGTTAGAGTGTTCCTTGAGTGAACTATATTACAAATTTCTATACTGCAGCTAGCATTACTGTTTTGCTGAGGAACACAAAAGGACAACCTTTCATTGCAATCTCTGTCTGAACTTATATATCTTATCTTACAAAGTTTCGAAGTACATTTATATTGGCAATAACTATTTTTCTTATTTCTTTGATCTTCCAACAGTATAGGACAGGATTTAAACACGAATTAAAAAAACTGCAATGCCGCTTACATGTAGTGGAAAGCGGAAAGTGGTATTGAGTCCCGTGAAAAGTATTACAAGGAGTGAAGTTAAGTGTGGCATGTAACAAACGAGAAGAAGGCCATAACTCCATAACATGCTATTCACAGTTTTCTTGTACTGAGCCACATCAAAATCGCTGCTCAGATTAAGGTGAGTCTGTGCAACATGGTGGCAAAGGCTCCGATAGATACTGAAATAACATAAAGGTATTATGAGGCAGAAACTGAACAACCCAACTGCCCCAGAATACATATTGATCAGAACGCTCAAAAACCAGGATCCCGACCAAACTGCGGTTGCGATCAGCTCTATAACAAGAATGTAAACAACTCGTCTCAATTTCACGAGTTCACAGTATCTCAAGCGAAGATGAAAGGCGAGATATCGATCAATAGCAATTGTAGCAATAGTCTGGAGCGAAACTCCGACAACAAAGGTTGATGTTCTTCCATATGTGATTGCTATAGCGCAGTAGTATCTGGACATTTCTAAGATAGTCATCAAGCAGTGAGCTGTAAACAGTGGAAGAACAATCAGTCCAACGAAAAGATCTGTCAGAGCCAAGTTAGATCACGAAGCTTTTGATGGAGAACAAAGAGATTGACACTTGCGAAGAGCGAGTAGGATCATAGTTTTTACCCAAAGTTGATGAAACTGAGAGGATCACACTAATAACACAGGCAAAGATGTAGATAGCCCTAGGGATTTCTTGCGTCGCAGGATAATAGTAAGTGCTGTTGGAACTACAATGTGATCCGGCGGACGTCCCTGCCATTTTTAACTAAAAACTTCTTGTTTGCCCTGATGAAGTGTCTAGGGCCTTTAAATCTAAGGAAAACTGACTGTAATGTTGTTACTGAAATTCCAGAACATAGCAAGTTTGGAATAGCGTAGAGATATATGTTTGGTGTCTCAGGTCACTAGGCGCCCTTACTATATGGCTACAATGGGTGACAAAAGTAATTGAGACACTTTTAGAAAATGACGCTCTTCGATCTTTAAGCACTTATTCTATTTTATTTGCATCTGGCGTTAATTCTCTGATACCCTTGGGGCCTGTTTCTCGAAGGTCCCGAAAAGTTTTCGCACCCGGAAAGCCATAGCAAAATCTCGAACCTTATGATTACAGGGCGGTTTTATTCACACATTCTTAATATAAACAGAGGCTCCCTTCATACAAGAAGTTTTAGGCATTTAGAGCGTTTTCACTGTCACGCAAGAAAAAATAAAATCAAAAACCATTCAGTGAATAAAGTCAAGAAATTGTGATATTATAGAAGATAAAAAAGAATACAGTTCTCCGAGTTTAAGGCGTGTGCTTTGTCCTAAAGTTGAGATATTCGTCGAAATGTTCCGCCCAAATTTACAGAGCGTAGTATGGAGCCGCCTCGTTGGCGTTCCTCTGGGGGACACCAATATGGCGGCGGAAAATAGTGTTAACATCTGGAACTTACTTTGGCTATCTATGACACTGGTTNTATTGCAGCTAGCATTACTGTTTTGCCGAGGAACATAAAAAGACAACCTTTCATTGCAATCTCTGTCTGAACTTATATATCTTATCTTACAAAGTTTCGGAGTACATTTATATTGGTAAAAACTATTTCTCTTATTCCTTTGATCTTCCAACAGTATAGAACGGGATTTAAACACGAATTAACAAAAACTACAATGCCGCTTACATGTAGTGGAAAGCGGGAAGTGGTATTGAGTCCCGTGAA